AAGGGGCAGAAAGGGATTCCTTGTTTTGGGCTAAGTTGTAATGTTAGTGTCCTTGTATCTTTGTATTTTCTTCTTTCCTTTCTTGAAGTTCTTTGTGACTCTTGGAAGATAAGTGTGTTTGTCTTCCACTTGTAAATTTTCTACTGATGAATTAATGAAAGTGTTATTGATTTAAAAAAAAAAGGTGCTCTTAGGTAATTGTGGTACATTACTTGGGCTGGCTGACTTCATCACTTATATTTTTTCTGTATGGCTTTCGTAAAGGTTCCTCTCTCTTTCTCCCCCTCCTTCCCTTTCTTTAATACAAATACTGACCTTTCAAAATGTGTGTGTATTCCTTCTTGGATAACCTTTTTCATAGAGAAAAATCATTCCTCCCTTCAATAGATGGCAAAAGCATATGCATCCAGAGATCAACTATATTTATATTTTGTAGTTTGCAATTAATATTACATTGGACAACTTGAGCTCAGACTGACCCATCATGCAATTTTACATGGGCTGGGCCTGGGCCCAAAGCTTTGGGCTTTTTATTTTTTGGGCTGGGTTTGGGCCTAGTCCATAGCTATATCCCGAGTTCAGCCCAACCTTATTGAAATCTTAATTCAACCCTAGACTGATCTGACTATACATACACATGCATATGTGCATATATAGAGATACATATTTTCATGCATGCATACATACATAAATACATATATATATATATGTATGTATGTATGTATGTATGTATGTATGTATGTATGTATGTATGTATGTATGTCATATATATATATGTATGTCAAATTTCAACAGGGCCTGGGTTGATCTTAAACCTGGCCCAGCCTGCCAAACTTGCATATCAGTGCAGTTGCTCTATTAATTAGACACAAGGCACTACAAATTTTTATTTTGTTTAGGTTTCAGTCATGTCAGAGCTAGAAGATGCATTTTCATACTTAGTGATCAGGGCTTTCATGATAAAATCTTATTATCACCTTTAGTTTTCTTGACTTGGTTTAGCACTCAAACTTAAGGCTTAGTTTGGGAAGAGTACAAATACAAATATGTACGTTGCAAGTACAAGGTTTTGAAATACAAATGTATAGTGCAAATACAAGGTTTAGTACTGTACATATTTGTATTTGTGCTCCTTCCAAACTGAGCCTAAACAACAAACGTATTCCTTTGTGGTAATTGAACTCAAATATGGTTGTTACCAATGGCATACATTGGCACTAGCAACGCTGTGGTTATGAACATGTTTTTTAATTTCTTTAAAATTTTAGTACTTTGCTGGAATTTTGTTGTTTTTTCTTCAGCAAAAAAGAAAAAAAGAACTATGTATTTTAAACTTAATTTAAAGAACTGATAAATGAAATTTCATGTACTTAAATCTTGGTACGAGTGTTCAGCTGTCCATCCATGAAACTCCGATACCTAGATATTTTCTTAAATGACATGGGATTTTTCTTTTTGTCAGCAACAGTGGTCAAAAGTGAAAACCCTTTAGAATTCAGGCACTGTACAGCAACCTAAGGTTGACAACATGTGGCAATTAGACCATCCACCTTGCATGAGTATTTGCCATTATCATCCAAGTGCATCATCTTTTTCTTAATGTGTTAAAATTATCACTCCACCTTGCATGAAAGTTACTTGATGTCTGTATTTATGATTTTAGTTGAGACTATCTTTTAGGAAATTTTAAGTCTTCATTGACTCCATACTTCGTAGGAATTGTTTATATTTGATAAGATCTTTTTGTTCATAAATGAGACTCGAATCTCTTGCAGCAAAAAAAAAAAAAAAAAATGAGACTCCAATCTGACATGTACAAATCTCTATCAATGTGCTTTGTAGAGACCACGCCACGAAGGTACTCTCCATTATCATTCAGCCAAAGAATAAAAATTGCAGTGGATGTTGCACGGTCGCTCTCTTACCTCCATGATAGAGGTTTGCCTCATGGTAACCTAAAGCCAACAAACATAGTCCTAGCAGGCCCTGATTTTACTGCTCGCCTCACGGACTATGGTCTCCACCGGTTAATGACACCTGCTGGGACTGCAGAGCAGATGTTAAATTTGGGAGCGCTTGGATACAGAGCGCCAGAGATTGCTTCTGCAGCAAAACCATTGCCAACATTTAAGGCTGATGTTTATGCATTTGGTGTGATACTTATGGAGTTGTTAACTAGAAGAAGTGCTGGTGACATAATTTCTGGCCAGTCAGGTGCTGTTGACCTCACAGATTGGGTTCGGCTATGTGCCCATGAAGGACGAGTAAACGAGTGCTTTGACAGAGACATTTCTGGTGGGGAAGAACAAACAAAAGCAATGGATGATTTGCTTGCCGTATCTCTCCGGTGTATTCTCCCTGTAAATGAGAGGCCTAACATCAGACAAGTCTTTGAGGATCTTTGTTCTATATCAGTTTGAAATTTGTGTATTTGTATCTTGGAATTAATTTTGCTTTCTGACTTCTATTTTTCCTTTCCTTTTCTTTGAGGGTTCCCAAGCCTTTCAAATGTGGGCTAATTTTCATTTTTTTTTCTCCATGTAAAGGGATTATTGATCCATTGATTGATTGATATTGTTTGAGTTAGTTTGAGTGTTGTAATTCTTTGTCAAATGCCATTAATGAGATTGCTCAATCAAATGACACTTAAAAACTTTGAAAGGAGCTGTTTATCTTTTATTGTTCTAAATGCTGCATAAATTCCAATTAAACACCCTGGACGTTTGTTCCCTTTCACGTGATGGAACAGTATACTGCAATTCTTTACTGGTGGAGAGAGTCCTTGTTTCAATCGTTAGGATCCGTAGTTCAGTTTTAGACGGATTTTATAATGCACTTTATTTCATTCACGAAGTTCTTCAGAGGTCAAATGGTATTTTCATAAGTGAAACTTACCTGTGGTCTCCAACAGCTTTTGACCATCAAGGCAGCTCCAACAGAATATTTGAGAAATTCAAATAAGGGAGTTCGATGATATAGTATTGGTAAATGCACCCAAAAAACGGTTAAAAGTTAGACTGAAATTAGTTAAACATGTCCATTGGTAGAAAGCACTTAGATTTAACATGGTTCAGCTTTATAGCCTACATCCAGGAAGAGAGAAAAATATCCATTATGAGAATAAGATATACATGGCTGATCTCTCTCTATGATCTCAAACAAAATTTGTTATTCAAACCTAATCCATGCAACCAATAGCTTAAAAAAGCAAAATGCCCAATTATATCAAAATTATGTATAGGCCCTCTTCCATCAGATTTAAACCCTTATTATCTTTAACACCCTCCCTAAAAGAAAACTCAAATACAACTAAGTACAATATATCACTCCACCTCTCAAACTCAAGATTGAGAAACAACTTAAATTTGCAAGGATATTGAAACAATCTCCATGAAAGTTGATATATTGTTGAAGTAGCAAATATGAAAGTTGGGATGTTGAAGTAGCTTCTTAGAAACCAAAATTGGCTTTTAAAAAGCTATATGTGGTAACAATATAATATGAGCTAGTGTAAAAAAGTTAAGAGTAAAACCAAGCCATGATTTAGTAATCACCAAACTGAACCTAGACAATGAAAAAGCAACGTATGTCATACTAAAGAATTGAAGTTAACCATTGAAAAAGCCAATCACAACCACCAAACTGAAAAACCATGTCAAACAATTGGATAATTAGAAGTGCCAACAAATTTACCTAATCAAAATTGGCCAATGGAGCTAACTACGAATTCCACAAACAGGGTTAAAGAATCAAAGTTAGCCAATGGAAAACCAACATATGTTATGACAAAGAATTGGAGTTGGCTATCAAAAGGATAATCACAATCACCGGACTAAAGAACCAACCATATCAACCGACTAAATAATGAGAAATTCAAGAAGAATTACCAAATTAGAGTTGACTTGTGGAAAGCCAACTATGATCTCCATAAACCAAATCAATGTCCAATGGAAAACCAGTTAGAAAACTCAACTAGATTCCTCAACATTGATTTAGAATGGAATATAATAAAGAATCATTGCTAAAGCATTTCTTCGAATGCCTTTCATGTAGAAGAAACATGAGTTAAACAAACTAGATATCGACTAATGATAATAAATCCAAAATTCATTAGAATATTCCAAATACCGATCATAACAATGAAGAACAATTGTATAAATTCTACACCTTTGAGACATTTTCTTGAACATTGAATAGTTGCCTTGGAATCCAATATCACATGCTAATGTCGATAACATAAATAGACTAAAGAAGTTGTACAACTTCCATAATAATTCTTTGCAAAATTTTAGAACTCTTAAAGAAAACACCAAATTTAACCAAATGGCTCACAACCAACCTTTAAGACAATTAATCAAACAACTCCCTCTCTGACAAATATAAATTTTGTCGGAGAGGGAGTCCTTCGAGAAAGAAAAGAAAAGAAGAAATCCCAAAAAGGCTTTAATAGTGTTAAAAATAAGGACTAGAAAGACACAATAGTTTACTAACCAGATTAGATTTCTTTGCACAAATGACCCTTTGGTCTTCTTTCTCATCTAAAATATGACTTGAACTCTAAAAGCTCAAGTCTAAAACTAGAAAGTGTGAGAGAATTGAAAAAAAGCCAAATCTTATACTAGTACTACTTTTTCCTGATTTTCCATAGAACTAATGAGAAACAATATCACCCCTTTAGAGGCCTATAAAAATTCCAGAAATAATGACAAAAAACGTGATTAAATGATAAAAGTGGATTCTTAAAAGATTCTTTCCAAGTTCAAGCTTGCATAACAAGACATGAACAATAAAAGGCCATGGATAGTAACTTATGGTTAAAACATAACCATCGGTCCACCTTAATTCACCTAACTAACTCCCATACTAAATCTGCTCTGGTACCATGTTAACTAGCAAAAAAGAAAATAGTAAACCTAGAAGAAAATAGAAAGAAGAAAGTATCAAGATTTAACATGATTCAGCTTGGTATACTACATCCATAGGAAGAGAGGGAAAAACATCCACTATGAGAGTAAGATATACATGGTTGACTTCTTTACAATTTCGCAAGTCGCAACAAAATGTCCATTCTCACTCAACCCTAATCTACCAATAACTTAAATAAGCAATGGACCCAATTATATCAAAATTATACATGTGCTCCTCTTCCTATCATAAATACATACAAAGTCTCAAAAGTTCATCAACATTACAAACAAGGTTTAAAATATTGATACATGCCGATACACCGGTTGGGGTGTATCGGCCTATATCGAGCTTTGCTTATATTTTTTTTTAGTTTTTTTTTTCAAACTGGTTCAGAGGGGTTGGTTTAAGGTCCATCTACCCACTGAACCAGGTTAGACCCCGGAACACTCACTGTAGTGGCGTATCGGGAGGTACGACCCAATACGTATCAATATTTTGAACCTTGATTACAAATATACTCTTGCAACCTCCAACACCCTTGCTGAAAGAAAACTGAAATACAACCAAATACAATTTATCACTCTATAAAACAAAGGCATACCCTTTCAGGCTTCACCGCCTGAAGTTATAGCCACTTTTCACATTTTCATCAATAAAGCCAGATCTAATTCAGCATACACACTATTAACAAACTTCATCCTTTTTCCCAGTATTAGAACTTCAACTTTGATATCTACACACTCCATTACTTACAAAAAAAGATAACGATACACATGGAAAATCTGTAACAAAATTTATTGGGCTTAATTCATAAATAAGTGTACTCAAAGTTAATTAGTTTTTTATAAGTAATATATTTTATTAAAAATGAACAAATATATGTAAAATGAAACCACTCTTGGAGAGTACAGATTCCTACCTCTCCTCATTACACAAACTTACAAAAATTACAACTAAGCACCAAAAAGGCTGAACCCTATTTACCCCTTGCTTAGCCAAAGTATCAGCCACACCATTTGCTGCTCTAGGAATCCATTGAATTCTTATCAACATATCTCTTGTTAGCCATTTAATCTTTTTTAGCATTTCTATATGAGCCCAAGCTGCATTTTCCTCATCCTTCAACCAGCTGTGAGTCACCTTCAATGTCAGCCTATCCAAATTCATTTCTTTTGCCTTTTGTACTCAAAATTCAGGAGTTATTATTGAATTGCTTGTCATAGAAAGATTATTAGATCCAAGGTCTGGCTCACGAGGAGTAAACAAGTTTGGGTATGAGAAATATGGGTCATCATCCATTGATGGCAATGGCTGAGGTTGGTGCTGGATAGATTTGTGTTCAATAACTCGGTCACCAGAAGTAGGTACATCCAATTCCTCTCTAGGTGCATCATAAGTTGGGGAATTTTGAATTTCTGAACTTTGATTGGATCCATTTTCTCGAAGTAGGTCCAAGGAATATGAAATGCCATCAGTATCACCAAAAGACTGCTGATGATCCAGCTTTGATATCTCCATTCTATCCGATTGATAATGACTCGTTATGTTGATTTCATCTTCACTTGTGAAATCATTGCCCTCATAGGCTTCATTAATTTTCTTGATGAATTCAGTGATCCTAATCTGTGCAAGGCTTGCTGCTGAGCGAGCTGCCACTGCTGCATGTTCTGCAGATTCTGCAGCAGCCTCAGCAGCAGCCAAGACATCCTGCAGGTCAACATTGGCTTCACTTTTTGTCCCCAAAATGGATGGAGCTGGCTTGCTTTTTCTTGACAAAAATGAAGCAGAGGACAATGAAGGGGGAGCAATGAATGATAAGAATTGTTTGTCTTCACCTGTACCAGCAGAGACATTGACTGGGGGAGCAACTGATGGTTCTACCGCAACTTCCTCAGGTTCCACATGTGGGCCATGATTTTCATTAGAACTGCATGTTATTGGTCCATGATCACCCACTGAATATTCTTTTATGTCAAGATCACCCTCAGAATTCTTTCTAAATTCATGAGCATTCACAGGAAGACCCATGTTTGGTGCTACAGTGTCAATACTTGGTTCCAATGGTAATTTAGGGACTTCAGGAAGATCCAATGTAGCAAAGCTTGTATCAGAGTCAGATTGTTGGTCAGGTGCTTGAGCAGGTGCTGAATACAGTGGATTGTCATGTTTCTCCTTAGGCATAGGCAATTTAGATCCACTCAGAAGCTGGGTTGGGCCATTCTGTTAAAAGACATGCAATTTGCTAAATAGAGAAAAACAAAATCTTAATATAGAAAGGGATAAGTGAAATATTTTAATTACCAGAAGATCTTCGTGTGGTTTGAAGAATTCAGTTTCAGAGGCAGCTGGATCCCAATCCAACTCATGCTCTTCTGCTATTTCTTTCAGCAACTTCAATTTTGCTTCAGCAAGAGGAGCACGAACAGATAGTAGTTCAATTAACTGCAAGAATATACTATACTGCCCATTAGAAAAAAGCAACAATATACAGAAAAAAAAAAGAAAATCCCCCTACAAGTTACATTATAAGATGGACGGAAATTGATGTGACCTTGCGATCAACACCACAGTCTGGCATGAGCTCAGTTGCAGCTGACACAAACTCCTTTCCATATTTGTTAGCAAATAACATCTGAACCTGTTGTAGTTCTGGTAAGTCAGCACATCTAGGTGCTGCAAAACACACACTGGAAATTGCTCCCTTCAAGTCAAGAGGACATTCCCTGAACATTGTGGCAGCATCAGATCACGACTATCCGACTCTAGAATATATATATATATATATATCCTTGTAACAAACACAACCAAGATGAACCCAATGATGATTTGGTCTAACCCAATTCAACCTGGTTCAATTAGGTTCGTAAGCTTATATATAATACTGCAGTATAATCCATATTCCTAATGCACCTTATCATTCCTCCACACACCTTAAACTGGACACTTAAGAGACTCGTGTTAGTTTAAAACGTTCTTAGCCATTGGATAAACTTGGGGAGTTTATCCTGATAAGGCTAACACTGGTGTGCTGCCAAGGAGTTGGAGCAGCTTGTCTCAGCTACTAGGGTTAGACCCCAAGCACAACCAGTGGGTGTTTATTAGAAGCACTGAACTTGGACCAATTTCCAGTTATGCCTTGGACCTTGGAGATAGATGGGCAAAACTGGAAAGTTACACATAACCCCAGACTTGATTATGGTACTACACTAGTTGTTGGACTGGACTGTCTTTGATATGCCAACCAGTGAGATCCATTAAGGGTAAAATACCTGGGTATGTTGGGGCAGTCTAAGAATTCACCTGAGTGGGTGATCATAGAGATAGGATCGGTCCCTTTGTCGGACAAAGTGAATTGTTAGGGTTTATACTATCTCTTATGGAAACCTAAACTGCCGGTGGTGGATTTCACTTGTGTTTGAAATATGGTTTTGTAAAATATATTTATATGTTATATATATTACTATGCTATGAAAAGGTTTGCAAAAGGTTTTAATCCTGTGATCCATTCAAGCAAAGAGTGTGACACTACACCTTGCAGCCAGGGGAGAGGTCATTCCCTGTCAAGCAGTGTTTTTGACCATTATGGGCTGAGAGGTTAAGTGTAAGAGACCACTACAGGTCTGATTACCTGATGGACTTTGTCTTACATGAGTCCATTATCTTTGGGTCTTCATAGAGTGGCTGAATCCAAGGATCATTTTTAGGTGTAAATGTTGGGCCCAAACTGGACCAATGCTGATTGCGTCAGGGGTTCACTACCCTGAGTAGTGAATTTGGCCTAGCCTCTTTCAGAGGTTGGGCCAAACCCATGTGGGCTTATGTGAGATCACTGTGGGGTTCCACGCCATATAGTATTAGGCCTAAAGTGGCCATGCAATACCTTGAATCGTGAGCCTTTGAAGTAGATGGGCCTTAGGCCCATAATTAATAAGATTAAGTTAGTTGTCACATGAAGTTGTCATGTGCTCTGGGTCAAATCTAGGTTTGGTAATGGGTATGGAGCACCTATTCGCTTAAGAGGATAAGACTTATCTCTTAATAGAGTCCAGATCCAAATCAGATTTGGATAATCTCCTAATTTAATTAGGAGAGTGCTCCATAAGGAGATAAAAGAAGAAGATGGTGAACTAAACTAAAACACCTTTCTCTCTCTCTTGTTCTCTCCTATTCTCCTTTGTCTCCCAAGAAACCCCATCACGACCTAGGCTTTCAAGAACTGATTTTTGATAAGTTTTTCTTCTAGTTTTTAAGAAAATCAGGCTCACTTACCTCATTCGATTCAAGCAAGTTGGATCACAGTTTTGCTAAAAATAGTGTTGCTGAACCGGCTTCACCTACACACTGTGCCATCTTCAGTGGAGGTTGGTTTTAGGACTAATTTGGGCGTGAACTTCCACCTTGGGATCTGTGCTTGTGGTATTTGTATCAGGTATGATTTCCCTTTTTGATTTGGTTTCAAATCTGGTCCGGTTCAGTGCAAGATTGATCCGGAAAATTCAGTTTTCAAATTCACCGGGAAATCGGTTCCCGCAAGGGTTAGAAAAATTTTTGAAATTTCGCCCAGCTATTTAGCATGGTTCGGCCATCCATATGATGGGTTCTAAACCCTTCCAACAATACAGTCCAACCCTATGAAGACCCTAGATAGCTGACGTTGGGTAATACTGTAATAGCTTTTTTATATAAAGAGATGTGTGATTTGAGGATTAGGAATAAAATATTATTTGATGAAGAATGTCTTGTATTTAGGAGGATGAGAAGTACTAGTAGAAAATGGTGGTTCCCACGTTTAGGACCCTTGCATGGACTTGTTTGGGCTTACCTCAAGGAGTTTGGTTGGGGTCCATGGGTGGAGCCCCTGGCCCAGATGAGGTGCAAGGCGCATCAGCTGAGGCATCAGGCCTAGATTAGCTGACTAGGTGGAGCCCCTGGCCCATGCTTGAAAAAGCGCATGACTAGGATGAGGTGCAAGGTGCATCAGGCCGGGACTAGGTGTGCCTAAGGCATGCCTTTTAAATCACCAACCCCCTTAGCTTTAATCTCCCTCTCCCTCCCTCCCTCTCTCCTCTCTCTCCTCTTTCCTCTCTCCTCTCTCTCTCTCTCTCCCTCACACACAAAAAAGTTAATGGTTTTAGAGAAATTTTTTTCCTCTATGGATCCATTTAGTAGCATAGAAAATGGACAAAAATGAATGATTTACAGAAAAAAGTTATTTTACAAAGTTTGCTTGTACATAAAATGGTCATGGTGAGCAAACAGTTTCTAAAAAGTGACAAGTCACATTCCAAAAGGGGGTTGGTTCTGTTGCTTTAAATTTTTGTGATCCCCATATATGCATCAATTATTCAGGTTTGTTATTTGTATTCTGAGTTAAAGCCAAATATCACAAGGAAAACAAATTTCCTATTGTATGTGTGTGTATACATATACTTCTAGAAGTCAGACAGCTTGGGCAGTTCTGTCTAATTTTTATATCAATTCAATTGGTGAGGCTAACCAAAGTTATCCTAGATTCTGGTCTGGTCCAATCAGTTGTCTACTCTGGTCTGGTTTTTAAAACATTCCACTTCTATCAGAAGATCCAAGAAAACCATAGCTTTTCCTGGAATAGACATTTATATGCTGTTCATGGACTGGTTATTTTTGAATATATGGTTTGCCTCCTGTGCTATGAGATGAAGATGATAACACTTATCCCTTTAGAACTCATGAACTCCGTAAGTCAGTACAAGTTATTTCCCAATTCAAACAAGCAAAAACTTGGGTATGAGGCTAGAAGGCCCCGTAGAGATAGTGTTGGGGGCTATGACATGCTCATATTAAGAGGATCAGGCATGACAATTGAAGGGTCCACATGGATATAACTTGGGTCAATGAATTGCCTTAACACAGAATTGGTGTTTTTTTCCCATTTTGTAGGTTTATGTATTCATTTGGATGGAGAGAATTATTCTATTACAACTATTAAGAAAGCTCCTTAAAATAAATACATCAGATGATTAGAAGTCATTCAATCATGTTAATCTGCAGCGAATGGTAGGGTGCATTTAAACTGTAGGTTCTGATCATCATAAACAACAAATAGCAATTGTTTTGAATATGCATATGACTCACCAAGCTAACAAAATTAGGTGCAGAACTGATTATATAATCATAAAAATGAAATGCCTTCATCATTAAATCTTTCAGTACACGGGAGGGTAAGTCATATTGGCAACTAAATACTGAAGTTATGAAAACACCTCTGTGCCTCAATAATTGGAAGACGAACAGCAATAAGTTCACAGTATAGTTCAATAATCTCCTGTGCAGCTATCATTTTCTCATCACGAATAATGTGCTCCACCTGAAAATAATGCATAAGCCCAAAATGATGACATTAAGAAACTAGAAAACATCCATTACGTATCCATATGTGGACAAGTGAAAGATTATCAAACTTGAATTTAGGAGAGAAAGCCATCATACACGTATGCGAGCTGTTGCTTCTTGTCCAGTCTCCAGTAGTTTGCTAATTTCCTTCCGCATTTGCTTTATTTGAGCTTCTCTTCTGTTTCGCAACAACTTTATGCGCGGAATTGTCAGCTTCAGAAGGGTTTTACTGGAACGATGAATAAAAATCAAATTTGCAAAGGTCCAAATAAACACTCTGAAAGTCATTACCAAATACCTACTTAGCTAAATTAAGTAAAAGTGAAACTGAAACAAGTATCATCTTATTTCATCAACGTCAATGCAGATAATGTTATCTAGTAATTATTAATTAAGAAGAGTATTTTAAGCCATTATAGTCTATATCTCTGACTCCATGATCCAATGCAGATCAATGTCGACAACAAAGAAAAGAAAGAGCCTATCAAACAAAATCTGGAAACCAACATTGTGGATTACATAACAATGGATATAGAGTGATTCAAGTAGCTAGGTTTATCAATAGAAACAGTAGAAACAGAACAAGTAGAGAAATTCAAGGCTCAAATTGGGACAAACACGCACCATTTCGCTCCTTTAAAACCTTTATTGAAGAAAGCATCGAGCATGGACATGACTTCAACCGAAGATCCAGAAACTCAAACTCAACTTTCGGAATCCAACAATCGTCCTTGCAAAAACCAGAAAAAATAAACAATAAGAAGCGGGAGAGATACCAGCCGGCGAATATGATGTTCAATTTCTAAGTAACTATTTATAAAGGATCTGTCTCCTAAACCTTTTCATCAATGGAGACTTCTATTAATTAACAATTAAGATTGAACCAAGTGAGAATTGGAAAAAGGGAAGAAGACAACGAGAGGAAGCTCACTCTACCTGCTCCCTCAGCTTCGGAAAGCGTCCTATCTCGAGAATCTTTTCTTACGCTCCAAGTATCTTCACGTCCTTGATTTTTCCTTCTGTAACCAGACAAATATACGTTGCGCCGCTTGGTGTAGTTCACACTCGCACAAATATGTTGTATTGCATCTAGTTATTACGCGGCTCCGGAAAAGATGTGGATGTGCTCAGTTCGTTAGTCGTTACTGCTCTGTCATCGTCTACCGCTCGAGTCTCTCCCTCCGGATCTCCTGCGCACGTCTACTCACAAGTCACAACACACTACCCCGTGGCGTAGAGTTCACCTCTGCGCCCCACAACGTCTCACAGCACATCTCTGACATATCATCGGTAGATGTTCTCAATACACGGAGGCGATGTGCTGTGGGACTTTGTGGAGCGCAGATCTAAACTCATCCCGTGATGAGATATTCTCCATATGTGACTGTGCGATATTATATGGGCAGACGTGAGCAGAGCTCAACTCTTTGAATATAACATAGAAAGATACCTGCGCCTATCTATTCAAGCTGACTTTAGCTCTATTAAATAATACACGGTTATATGTGGAGCTTCTTTTGAAAGCAGGAATTTCAGCTTCTAGACCTGCGTACACTATATCGTTGTTGAAAGTTGTTGCATGTGTATATTTTCAATAGTAAATTAAAGCTATTCTCCCTTGGCGAATTGAATTAATATAGTACTAGAACAGAGATAATGAAAAAGTTTCTACACCTTTTTGTTCATTTTATTTCACTATTAGAAAGAGAGAAACTAATTTGAATTATACAATTATTTGGTTGATTGGGATGTTGAGTTAGATATTTGAGACTGGTCTCCCGAATATTTGAAGATATTCTATGCCCTAGTTTGCTGGATTTGTTGTTATTTGAGTGTTTATGTCACCAAAAGGGAGTACAAATACAAAAATCCTGGGCCGGGTAGCCTGGCCCCTGGACGGGCTTGAACACACACTTGAGCCTAAAAGCCTGAGCCGACTATGTTGCGAGTCGGGCTCGGGATTTGTTAAAAAAGCCCGGTCCAGCCCGACCTATAGGTTAAATAAAAAATCCTAATATCTTTACCCCTCTTCTCATTCATCTCTTTCTTGTCTAAGCGAGTTAGCCAAACCTCTTCTCAGTTTTCATAGTGATTAACAACCTCACACTCTCAGGCAAACACAGAACCAGCGAACACTCATTGGTGCAACCAGTAAACTCCGGCAGACTGGCGTAAGTCCTCTCTCTCTCTCTCTCTCGCTCTCGCTCTCGTTCCTCTTCTTAGTTCTCACCTCTTCTCTCTCAAATTTCAGACATGAACGCAGGCACCAGCGGCGGCGGTGAGTCCTCTCTCTCTCTCTCTCTTGTTCCTCTTCTCACTTCTTCTCTCTCAGAATCTCATACATGAACTCAGGCACTGGAGAGGCGAAGAACACAGGCACCGACGGTGGTGGTGAGTCCTCTCTTTGTCTCTCTCTTAGACGCAAACTCAACACCGGAAAACACAGTCACCGGTGGTGAGTCCTTTCATCTGTTAGGTTGGGCTTCGGGCTCGGGCCCATGTTGTAGGCCCGTTGGTCAGGCCAGGCTCGGGCTCGGGCCTAACAAAATCCTGTTTATGAAGAGTAAAAACTCGACCCGAGCTCGGCCCGGCCTGATTCATGAACAAGTCTATATATATACACGCACATATATATGCATTCAACCAACATTTGTTCTCTTCCTAAACACAGCCTAAAAAGCATAGGTGTAATAGCAGTTTCTTATATTGTTGGATTTATACCTTGCTTTTCTTGAGGGATGGGGATTTTACATCCACTTTGATCCCCATGCAGTGGTTATAGACTTGGATTTGAATGGTCAAGTGCATGCATATCTTGATCTGAAATAAAAAAAAATAAAGAAATATATCTTTGGCTTAGCAGATTGGAGAGCAAAACCCTGGCTATGTTGGTTTGAAGGAAAAAGTAGGGAAAAGGAAAGGAAACCTTTACAAACCTTATATAGGTTTCCCTACCTTTCCCTATTTTTTCTTTCATACCAAACAAAGCCCAAGATAATACGAGCCAACACAATTTGATTAAGAAAAGATAAGGAGAAAAGGGGGACTAATAATTATCCAAGCAAATTCAACTGCTCACATGTGAAATCTATAAGTTTGGGCATTGCCTATCTATGGTGATAGAAGGGCTAGATGCCGATCCTATTAAATTCGAAAAAAATGTTTCACAGGAACATTGATTATTTTGAGACCATTCCTAGCTAGGTATGAGGGCTTTGAGGGTGCTGGGGGACCGTTATTGTTGTTCCATAAGATGCCTAGGATTTTCTCATTTCCATGCCAAAAACATACTTCCTTAGGCAAATTTAAATGAATAAACAAAGGTGGTGTTTAGAATCAATGTTGTTTCTTGAGAAGCGTTTTCTCAAAGATTGGTGCTGCATAGGCATGTTGTTTTTTCAGGAAATGTTTTTTTTTTTTTTTGAGTTTTCTATTTGGTACCATTGCTGTTGCTAATACAGACATTTTTCAATGCTATGTTACTATATTGTTGCTAGCAACAATAAAAAAACAGGAAATCAGTAAAAATGACATCTTCTTAGACCACACATTTCCCGATTTTCAAGGCCCATAAGAAAATGCTTTTTGAAAAAATATTTAACCAAAAATTAGGCATTTTCTGAAAAATAGATTTCAAACATAGCGCCAAGGTTTTAAATATCGATACAGGCCAATACGTCGGGCATATCGGCCTATATCGGTGCTTTTTTTGTATTTTATTTATATTTTTCAAAACCGATTCAAAGGGTTTGGTTTAAGTCCCGACTACCCTCTGAACCATGGCCTGACCCGATACGGGCCAATACATAACGATATTTTGAACCTTGCATGGCACTGATGTAACATTGTTTTTTCGAAAAAAAAGACATTAATGCCAAACACCTACACAAAGATTTAAGAGGGTATTGGACAACATGATTGGTTTACATCCCCCTAAAACACCCTCCTAATTTTTGTTAAGCCATTCAAATTTGCCTCAAGAACTATGCTTTTGGCGTGGAAATCCTAGGCATTTCTTATGGAACAACAATAATGGTCCTCAGGACCCTCAAGGTCCTATTGCCCTATTGTTTTTGTTGATGTATCATCAGTCATGTTGTCCATCGCCCCCAAAGTATTGGTTTTGGAGTTATGGACATGTAGGTGGAGTGGGCATATTAAGTTTCTATGTATGGGGCAATTTTGTTTCTTACATGCCATTAATTAAATTCTCCCAATTATTGTTATTCCCCAATCAATTATGCTATACTCCATAGTTTTTATGGTATAGAAAACAAGATTAATTATTCAAATAGGCCCATAATTTTCATGGTATAAGAACTACGAGTAAGATTATTCAAATAGGTTGTAAGGCAAACGTTTAAGTTACTTGTCATAACATTATAAATTTGAAATTTTGACATTTAAGCATTTTTTATTTATGACAAACATTAAATAAAAACAATTGATTATTAAAATTTAAATATTTATAGATATTAGCAAAAAGTATTGGTTTCATGAAAAATTACATATAAATATATGCATATTTAAGTTCTATGATTTTTCCACATTTCCCAAGTGTGAACCATCAAAGTCTGCGTTCTTTATGCATATATACCTTTTCTATAGTCATCTAAAAACTTGGATCTTCTGTATTGATGCGCTTTAGATCTAATTATTCGAGTTCCCCAAATATATCCATATTTATTTTAATTTTCTCTCTGTGCCAAAAGTCTATATGATATATCTCTTAAATTTATCTTTTTATTATTGCTCCTTGTACTTCCATGCTTTGAAATTTGAGTTTAGCTCTTCCTGACTACTTACAATCAGCTTGGGGGCTCATACATTATTAGAAATTTAGAACACAACAACAAAGTCTAACTTATTAGTATTTTGGTAGGATTAGTGGAATGGCCCGTTGATGGTGATGTATGACTATACTTTTATATCTCGGGCATAGATGAAAATTTACATACTGTTCAAAAGTTCTATAACTATTATATAATACATAAAAAAGACTATACTCTCAAAATGCCAAGATCTAAATTTTATAATATGCATATAATGTTGGTTGCAAATGCATCAAATTGAAACATTAGTACAACAAATCAATGATAAAACTACATTTAACAACATTATATACAGATATAGTTCATCGCAATGAAACACAAATTTTATGGAGAATAGGAGATGCCACTCTTAATCGATCTCCTATTTTGTAATAACCTAAAACCTATGAAAATAATTACTATTAATGGTGAGAAGTAAACAAAACTATTATGTTAATTTACACAAGTAACCATTGAATAACAGAAGTCATTACCTAAGATGACTATTAAATGACTTACATTTAAGCCTAAAAACATTTTCTTCTTACTTTTTAACTAAGAGAAGATAAAGAAATTAATTGGAAGAAAAATTTATCAACCAACCACTAAAGTAACATGTATCCAAACACCTTCTAGGCATGTTCAGCACCTCCACACATTTGTCCAAGAATAAAACAATCGAATAATTCATAATGTGTCACAGTGTTGCATAAGACTTAGGACATGAGTTGTAAGTCATACTTAACAACCACACACATGATAACATATGGTCCTAGTGGTCAAATGCCCTTAGAAGACCTAGGCCTAATTGACAAACATGTCTAGGGCCCATGGAATGAAATTTTTATATTTTCATTTTTTTCTAATTTATGGTTTTCTTTGTTTTTTGTAATTTTTGGTAATTTTCATCAATTTTTAATGATTTTCTACTTTTTTTTGTGATTTTTTGCGTATTTCTTTGTTTTTTGTAATTTACATTATTTTCTTCATTTTTTATATTTTTTATAATTATTTTGTAATTTTTATTTTTTCTTTAATTTATGTTATTTTCTACATTTTATATCTTTATTTATATATTATGTATTTTTATAGTTATATTTTTCTAGAATTTACGTATTATGTGAAAAAAATTAATGGGTTGGGGTATGGTAGGTTTGGATTGAACCCAAAATGGGTCATTAGTGGGTTGATGGGTCAGGTGGGATGGGTTAAAGCTCAACCCAAACCTAAGTACTTAACCCACCCAATTTCTTTTTAGAAAAGACAATGTTTTTTTTTGCCAACAACTATCATGCACCCTCATATAGAATTGGGATGTTGGAATAACAAAAAAACTACGGGATAGAATGAGTATGAAAAATCAAGGTCTTTCGACCACACTAACTGAA